GGAAAACCTTTGCAGGTAGACACATACACAATTCATTTCTTAAGACCTTTTATTGCAAATATTTTGATTGAAAGAGATAATACACTACCCGATGTAAAAAAAAGTCTGGCTTGGTTCTGCTTACAATGGTTATTGACAGAAAATTGTTATGGAACAAAAACTTCACAACTGTAAGTACTAAAAGTTGTTCATACACCTGCAAGAGAAATGTTTCAGATTGCACCTACAGTTGAGAACCAATAGTCAAAAGCAAGAACATACTGTTTTCGGCAAACCCTATGACGGCCAACACTAGGAGGGAATCACAACCCCTGAGAACCCTTCTCCGGACCATACTATAAGGGATAAAGTTCAGATCGAAAGTCAAGATGACCTCGCAGCTCCTATTCAGAAAGCATCAGGTGCAGAGGTTTAGACCGAAAATCAGAATAGCCCCGCGTTTTCTATTTAGGAAGCATCAGGTGCAAATGTGACAATTCATACTGCACATACACTGAAACCTATCACTGTGGCAACGACTGACTTTCCTTCTACTATGGTTTTAATATCTAATCAGACCGATGATCACATGAGCCAGTCTTCAGATGAAGAATGATAAATTTACACTTCTCGGCAGAAGAAGGCTGGGGGCACACTCCAACTTGGAAACTTAATGGATGATACTTTGGTTACTCCTGACACTGACACGACACTTCAGAATTTAATATCTGGCTCCGTCCTAAAGCTAGAGGTTGATGTTTTAAATTTTTTTAGTTTATCTATAACCTTTTGTTGGGGTAGTACTGTACTTGGTATCGTATGGGTAGGGCGTCTTTATTGGGCCCTCCCATACAACCATTATGTATCTTTTCTATTTCAATAAAATAAGCCATAAGACTTCTAATGGTGATTTCGGTCATAGTTGATTCTACCGCTGGAGAAGATCTCGTATCGTTGACACTCGCTCCAACGTCTGCAACTACGTCGACTTCGACGTTCGCACACCTTGTCGTGGCTCGCGTCGCGATATTTCCACTGCTCGCGTCGTCATCTTTTTTTGTCGCGATCGTTCCTCTGCTCGACATCGACGTTCGCACCTGCTCTGCTCGACGTCGTCATCTTCCACGCCTCTATTGCTCGCAGCTATCGTATGCGCCCAACAGCTCCTCTGCCTTTCAGCAACCTCGCAGCAATTTAACTCCGACAGCCTCTGATGGCGTTTTCTTCTTCTTTGGTTGAGCCTGACAAAGTCTCCTTTGCTCGCGTGGTGGGTAACCCTCAGGAGGAGTCAGCAGTGGTATTCCCCTCAAGTTATAAGGAATGTCGTGAGGGTACAGATGATTGTCCTTTTATTAAGAAGAGAAGTAGGAAAGGAGGAAAAAAAACAATCTTTTTCTCTGAATCAGAAATTTTTACCCTGACGTAAAAATGATTGAGCATCCTAGATAAATAATCGAAATCTAGAATGAAAATAATAGAGGAAAGGGGGTCCCCCTGTTTAATGCCCCGACAAACAGTGAAAATGCCATAAGAATTACCGTTAACCAACACAAAATAATAGTTGTTTGTGAACCATCTTTTAATCAGGGTGCAAAAACTGGGATTGAAACCTTTAGACTTCAAAACGTTGATAATGAAATCCCAATTAATGGTATCAAAGGCTTTCTTGATATCTAATTTGATAACAAGATTGTCACCCCTGCATTTTTTATCAAGATCCTGCAAAATTTTTTGGTTTAAGAGTATATTGTTAGAAATATCATGTCCTTTAATGAAGGTCGACTGGTGGGGGGAGATGAGAGAAGGAAGATGGGGTTGAAAATCAGTTTACAGATGATTTTAGTTTTAGAAATCACTGAAGTGAGCGAGATGGGCCTAAAATCCTTCCAATGAGTTTTATCATTAGTTTTAGGGATAAGAACAATTAAAGCGACAGAAAAATACTTTCCAGGGTATTCACCCTGAAAGAAACTTTGAATCACGAGAACCACCTCTTTCTTTATGATGTCCCAACAGGAAATATAAAGAGCAGAAGTGAAACCATCGGGGCTAGGAGCCTTATAAGAACTAATATCTTTAAGGGTAGTGAAAATTTCTAACTCATTGGGGTGGTTGGACAAAGAGAGGGAGGAAACAATGTCCCTCTGATCCTCAAACAATTCCGATAGAATATCAGTGACCGGGAGAGCCTCAGCATAAAGAGAAGAAAAATAATCAGCTGCATTAGAACCAATTTGATCGACATCAATGAGTACATTACCCTCATCAGTAACAATTTTAATAATGACATTTATATTACGACGATGCTTGATAGTAGCATGAAAATATTTAGTGTTTCTGTCTCCGTTTTTGAAATGAGTGTCACAAGCTTTCTGTCTAAGGAAATCCTCCTCAATAGTGATTTCCTTCAAGAGAGTGTGATGAGCATTAGCTAACATGGCAACAAGATAAGGAGTGTCTATCACCTGTGCCTCTAAAGCATCGACCTCTTGTTGGGTTTTCGAAACCCTCGAATGAACATTGCCAAAAGTATCCATGTTCCACCTTTTTAAGTAAGAAGCATCGTTCTTATGTAATTGCTACAAAATGAACCAAGGGTTACCACTTCACCGCGAGACCCAAGCCTGCTTAATCAAATCAATAAAAGTAAAATCAATAAAAGTAGGATGAGAAGTTTTAAACTGATAACGAGCATGTTTGGAGTGAAAAGTCAAGCTAAGCAAAATAGGATTATGGTTCGATGCAACATGATTAAGATGTTTGACATGTATAATGTTATAGTAACTCATAAAAGCTGAATATCCCAAAAATCTGTCCAATCTTTGCATAAGAAAACCCCGCCGCCAAGTGAAAGGACCCGAAAAGCCTAAATTATAAAGGCCAGCATCCTCAATATCTCGCAATATGCTCACAAAAACGGTTGATAAGACTTGTATCAACTTTAGCACACCCCTTCTCTCCAACGACGATATGACGGTGACAAAATCATATTTAGATCCCCTCCAACGAACCAATTATCAGAAATAGTAGCACCCATATGAGTAAGTTATTGCCAAAGGAGAAGTTTGTCCCTTAAAAGAGAGCTGACATAAATGAAAGTAGCCCAACCAAAAAAATTCTCCAACTGATAATGAGTAAGAACATATTGCACATTATCTTCAATAATGTTAAAGTGATATCTTTTTGTTAAAAGAGCCAAATTTAATTGTTCATATTACTATAATGCATGTAACCCTTGAATTTCTTAATGATATTCTCTTTATGAATCGTTACAAACGGTTCCAAAAGAACAAAAATGTCTGGCTTATGGACCCTACATAAATGTTTTAAAAGATTAAATAAGTGGGGGTACGCCACTCCTCTAATGTTCCATACCAGAATGTTAAACATTTTGGCCTATGACACCCCCTCCTCGCAAACCTAGGGTAGGGGGAAGATGCAATGCAAGTGCTCACCCTCCGAATGGTATGTGACATCAATATTGTTTGCCTGTGTCATAATTGGGAGTTCTGAATTCCTTCTACTTCTTCTCCTGCTATATTTTGAATTGTCCATTCAGATTCTAAAGCCATGGTAGCCATAGCAGATGGGTCCGACGGTGGGGGAGTAACCGATGGAGTAGTTTGTTGATTATTTGCTTGTGGGGGATTCTGAACCTCAAATTGTTCGGCTAAAGCACTAGGGATCTGAGCCACAATTTCCGGTTCTTGTGTGGCAATGAGATCCGCAATTCCTTCAACTCTCTCCGTGGGTACAGAGCCCACGCGTGCTACTTCACCAGAATGAGCAGCACTGGTTGCCTCCAAACAGGGAGTAATTGATCAACAGGGCCCACGCAAGGTACTTCTGCAGACTGAGTAACTGGTTCAAAATGAGGAGTTCGAAGAGCAGATTTCTGCTCAAGAGAGGCCACACGACGGGAAGTGGATTTTCGCAATTCAGGGTGCAAGTGAAACAGTGTGCCAAATCATGGCTACACATACTGCAGTGCAAGCAGTAGTGAGGATGTTTCTCATGAAACACCAGTTGCCAATATCCCGTATGATTAGATCCAATCCAAACATCTTCCGGAGGAGGTAAGGTAACATCTCGTTCTATTAAAATTCTAGTCATTGAAGGTCTTGTTAAATTGAAGGTAGGGGCATCAAGCATCAACGGCTTACCATACATAGCAGCAATAGAAAACAAAATTTTATGATTGAACAGATGCACCTTTAAGCCCAGAAGGCGAAGCCAGACATGAATAATAGGTAGCTCAATCCTAGGATCAAACTCAATTGTCCATTTGAAGACTTTCATCCAAACTTCACGAAAATGAACAGTTCTGCTTGCAAATAGTTTAGCATAGTCATCCTCATTAGAGAGTTGGATCAGCATATGCCTGTTATCAAGAGCACCGATCTTCCAACCCCACGATATAGGAACTTACGTACAAGATGGAAACGACAGACAAAGACAAGAAAGGAGTTCTCAGAGTCAGAGAGAAAAAGCTCACACTTCCCCCCACCCCCCCTTTCTTCCCTGAGACTTGATAAAATTGTATTCCCCGCTAAGAACAAGTGATTCATGAAAAGAAGAGGGAAACACAAACTGCGGAGTGCTGGAGGAGGAAACCCCCGCAGTGACGCCTGCATACGTCTTCACCATATCCGACGAGAGAGCGAAGAGGCAAGAAAAGAAGACGAGAACGGAGGAGAAGCCAAAACCAAACGAAAAGGAAAGATCTCACCAGAGTGCGACCGTCGAGAGGGAATCCATGCCGTCAGCATCTCCGAATCGCCGCTCGATCGCAAATATATATATATATATATATATATAATCAAAATGATTCCTTGATTATTTATATGAGGTCATTTTACTGGGATTATTTTACGCCATATTAATATGGTTTTGGAGCTTAATTGACTCTTTTATAGGCTTTGGATCAATATAGCATTCCACAAAGAGTCAGGGATCACTTTAACACATAGAACTTTGACTTTCGAGTTGTAACTCATTTTGTTGTTCTTTATTTCATGCAGCATCAACTATGGAATCTTGCACAAAGAACGACTGCTCTACCATTTGGCCGCGGGGCATTTACTTTGGCCACTACTTACACTCTTTTGACTGAGGTTTGGAAGCTCCCATTTTAGTTCTTTCTTTGAGGTTTTATTGAACTATTCCATGGCTTCAATTTCTTTTTGTACTACTGTTCATTTCATCCATTATTTCTATTTTATCTTTGGTGAGAAATAAAAGTTTACGTTGGATTATTTATTTTACCTAGGCACTCTTTGTTCCAAAGCTCATATTGGCGGGTCGATTACCTTCTCAACAAAATGCAACTGTGAGTGTTTTTTCAAATCTATAAACTTCTTCAAACATTATGTTTTTGGTACCTTATCATTTATTTATCATTGTTTTTTGTATTATTAGCTTGGGGGTCATTTGGGATCACTTTTTTTCTAATTTTTATTTTTATTTTGTTTTATTTAAATTTTGATTTGAAACAAAACCTAATTCGCTATTTGATTGAAGTGTGATTGTTTTTACAAATATTCAAAACAATGAAAAGTTTCGAGTGTTTTAAAAATATGTTTATTTGATTTTAGAAATAAAAATAAAAAACATGTAAAAACACAGTGGAAAAACATGCTTTTAAAAACAAAATTAAAATTGATCCCAAAAAAGTCCTTAGCAATTGAGGGCATGTTGAATTCCTATTTTGCCGGTCTTACTGGGTTCATGTTGCAGTGTTATGCTCTACTTTTCTTTGATTCCAGCACTCTAAAAATTTGAAATCCACACTTCCAGAGAGTAATTTCCAATTTTTTGTGTGTATATCATTTGTTTTCTGTTAATATTTTTAATTTGATGGTTAAACATATTCTATGGTTTTTCTTCCATTACTTTTGTTTTTATCAATTCCATTGAATAAAGAAAGAATTAACAAACTCTTATGGACAACTTAGGGTGTTATTGTTTCATGCATTGTCTCATATTATGCTGCTGGAGAACTGATGGCTGTATGATACGCTAACTTCTGGCTTGTCTAGAAGAACTGATTTCTTCCTTAAGGAATGCTATAATCTCTTGATTATATTCAGCCTTCTTCATTCTTTTTTAGCATTTTTTTTTTGTTTCATTTTTTTGTACCTATCAGGTTAATCTGGACCCAAATTTAAGGAGCATTTCGGAACTCAAGTCTTGGCCAGAGTTTCACAATGGGGTTGCTGCAGGACTGAAGCTAGCACCCTTTCAGGTTCTTTTATCATATTTTTAATTTTATCCTTGATATTATTACAATTTTTATCATAGCTTTAGACTTTTCTGAAATTTTTATTGGTGTTTTGCTTTCCCATTCTTTCTTGTTTTATTGTTACATGCGGTTGCAGCCATCCATGCTGCATTTATATGCAAGATTTTATTCATTAGTGAAGTTTAATGAATGCGTTCATCCATGTTGTAAATATAATTTTCTTCTAGTCTCGAAACATTCATTATCGATAAGGTTTTTATGATTTTCTACAGGGGAAAATGTCCAGAACATGGATTCTATACAACAAGCCTCAGGAACCAAACTTCTCTCATGCTGGATTACTTCTAGCTTTAGGTTTGCATGAGCATTTGCGGGTTCTCATGATTAGTGATGTCTATCGCTATCTTGCACAGGTATGCCTCTTTATTTCTATTAAATTTTCTGGATGTGCTCGCTCGCAAACTTCTATTTTTTTATGCATTTAGTGAATGTGTGGCTGGGAAATAGAAATTTTTTTAGTTAGTAGGATATTTGGTTATGCCTGATTAATTAATTGGTTTGATACTACACATATTTGAGTTGAAGCGGATTGGTACTTGGGAGGTCAATTATATAATTTTACCACCTTTGAAGGTAATATGATCATATTGGATGTTTGACATGAATTTGGGTGCCTCTAGAAAATTTGGATGTATTAACACGATTTTTGATGCGGTTGCACACACTGGTTCGGATAATGGTGCTTGTGAGCAAATTTTGGACATTCATATTATCCATAATGTTTTGTTAATGTTGTTTAAATCCATGGATGCTTCAGTGCCTCAAAACATTTTGTTAATGGACTAATATGTTTTTCATGCAATGACATGGATATTAGTGCTTTATGTTTTAGTCAGGAACATGCAGGCTATCCACGAAATTATCTTTTTTCCTTCTAAAATCTTTTTGGACTATTTTGGTGCATTGATGCCTCTTAAAATAGGATATCCATGGATTATTTTTTTTATTTTTTGATGAAGTTGACCTGTTTTCCCTAATTTACATGGATTATTTCATAGCAAAAATAATTTATATATATATATTTTAAATTCTGAAAGTTTCATATGTTTATAGACCTTTGGCTCTAATTTATATTTTTTTTTGTAATTATCTCGACATTTTCGATATGATTTTTTGCTTTATTTTTTGAGAGTTTCTCAGCATAAGTAGTTGAAAATTTGGATAAATTTATTTCTGATTTTTAAAGTTGAATTTTTTTTAAGGCCATTATATAATTTTGAAAAGTTGTGGAATATTTATTTTAAAATTTGCCAAATTTCTTTTAATCAATAAATTCTCAATCAAGTTTGTTTGTCATGTTCCTCCCGCTACCTGGAACTTACGTAATGCGCTGAAAATTAAGAAATAGTTCCCATCGGTGTAAACATAATTTTAATGATATTTATATTCACCCATCTGTTCATCGAAGTATTTAAATCCATTGAAACATACTAATATGAACCGAAAAGTATATGAATATAACTAAACTATAGAATTAATTAAATAATTCCTACTTTAAAACATTCAATTATATATATGAAGCATGAGCCTAGTAACTCATTCGTTAGATGATGCACAACTAGTAAGCTAAAAATTATGAAGAGGTGTTAGCTTGTCAGAAACAAATTCTATAGGTGAAATCTTACAGTGTAAAGTATAAATGACCAAAATAATTATGAGCAAAGAAGGGGCATGAATTGTAACGCCCATGGAAAAAAAAGAAAAAGAGTTCAAGCCGGCTAGTGTCTGTTCATTGAACTGATGCTAGCTGCTATTCTTTATTATGAGAGGGGGGATGGAGGTTAAGGGGATGAATACCTGTACGAAATCGAATGGAAAAGTGAGAGAGAGAGAGAGGAGGTTGAGGGGAGATTGAGAGTTATAGACTGCCTTGTAATTTGTTTTAGCGTGATAATTGTTTTGGTTTATTAACCATTGTGAGTTAGTGACTTATAAACCCACACAACATGACATGGTTTAAATTCAATATTGAGATTACATTATTATATTCAATAGTTCTTAAGTGGTGTCTAGTATTGTCGCTGTTGCTTTAACCCTTTTGCCTCCATTGGAAAGCATTTTGTTGTTGACCGTAAAAATAAAAAAAAAGGGAGAGAAATAAAAAAAGGAAAGGAAATAAGATATATTAATTAAATTAAATTAATTATCAAGAAAACTTACCTGCTCCCGCTTGTTTGAAGCACACACTCTTCCTGGTAACCGTACCCTTTCTTCCTCAGTTAGAAACATGAATGAAGCCTTCCTTTTGCCCCCCGCTCACTTCAAAATCTCAGAAAGCCTTCCTTTTGATTTAACGTTTCAAAGTATTAGCATAAACAACACTAGAACTTTAATTTCAGTAGATAAGAATTAAGTAGGTTGAAACTTGAAACTAGAAGTTTTTCAAATTAGTTTCTAAAGCAGCTGGAAGCTCTTGGACTTGTCAAAACAATGAGGGAATCAAATCTTCTCAGGTTATTACAGATTTTCTAGAATGGATAGCAACTATTCCAGCTTACCTTGTTCATAAATTGCCTAGAATACAGTTGTACCTTGCAAAGAACACTCCTTTGGAGCTTCATATGCTATTTTCGGCACTTGTAAGAAGTAAAAAATGATCTCTCCAAAAGATTTAAGATGCGGTTACTCAAATTCAAACAATAATAATTGTTCCAAATGAATCTTAAGCAAACATTTATATTAATTAGCCTGTCATACTTGCCCTTAGGAGCTTTAATTCTACTAATTCAAATACAAAAATTAACAACTCAAAGAATTAACTGATATATATGATCAGAAAATGAAAAAAGAAAAATGGAAGAAAACTTAATTATGATTCTGGAGGAATGCCCAGTAAATTATTCATGAGTTAGAAATGACAATGGTAATGATGAACATCTCAGCATCCTGTTGATGGGCCCTTTAGCCATGATGCTCCATCAATGTGATAGCGCCAATCTTCTCTTTTTTATGTGTACTCATGCCCGCACAAAATTGTATCTTGCCATCATCCTTCTTTTATTTCCTTTTATTACTTTGATATTTCGTTATCCTCTCATTTTTGCAGTGATTAACTGCACCATTCAATTGTGACTGTAAATGTTTTCATTTTTGAGACATGATTGTCACAGGAGCATGATATTACCACTTGTGCACTATTGCTCGGCCTTTCAGCATCTTCTCGAGGAACAATGGATCCTGCAATATCAAAGGTAGAAGTACTCTTTAAAATTTTTCCTTTTTTTGTAATCATGTTCTGCCTAACACTGATAGATTACCAACTAGTAAGTTTTACCTTTTGTACATAGCACTTGAATAATTCAGATTGACTGTGTTGTGGACATAGATTAACTAAATTATAGTTGATATAAATTATTTAAAATGGAAAGACTATGTCGTGGAAAGTGTGATTGAACTATATATTTGAGAATCTGTAGAAGAATTTCTTAGATGATATGATTAGGCACAGAATACAACGTGGTAACATTAGAAGGGCCAAGTTATTTAACAAAAGAATGTAAGGCTTCGGGTGAAGTAGGTTGTGGAAATAACATAACATTTGCTTGAAACATTCAGGTGAACTAACATACACCAAAATAATAAATATATTTATATATATTTTTTGAATTTCTGGGACAAATCTAATATAGTGTTAGTAGGGTTAAAATGATTTTGAAGTGATGGTTACGTGACCAATAAAAAATATAGATTATTTATTTCTATTGATGATTACATCTGTTTGTAAATTTCGTCAGGTGTATTTTGGCTAATATTTGGTTTGTCACCCCATTTTTACTGACTAAGTTTATGAAAAGCATGATGGGAAGGTTTGTGCTGTTCTGTTTGGTAAAACCTTATAAAAAGGTGGTGCTTTATAATTGCAGTTTGCTCGAGTCCATAGTTCTACATGTAAAATCAAGTATTATTAAGTCTATGTTTAACTAATGCTGCTTATTTCTTTATGTAAAATGGCAAAAAAAAACTTAATAGTGCTGAGAATTTGGAAATGATTTAGTTAGAATATCACCCAAAAGTAGTGTGTCACAACTTATCCCAATCATGGTTAAAAGTGCTTGATAATGGTGAGAATTCGAAAAAAAATAGCTAGGATATCACCCAAAAATGGTGTGCCACAACTTTCCTAATCATGGTGAAAAATGGGCAAGGATTGAGTGAGTTTAAGGGTCTATTTGGCTGCAAGCGATTTAACTTGAATAGGGTTTAGTAAATCCTATAAACCATTATTTATCAATTCCGTCGAAATACTGGTTTTGGTAAATTTGGATTTATGGGCGAATTGAGAATAAATTCAGATTTAACTATCATCAGATTTAACATGCATACATTTAATTGTTGGTTGGATTTACGCTAAATCCATAAATCCAACAAAAATTCTATTAAGAAGGCACTACCAAACAACCCCTGAAGCTAAAATTTTGAACATGATCGCTAGGCTAGAGAGTGAATGACTCGGAAGCTTCTGTTCTAACGCTTTACCCATGCGAGCGCGGGGCCCCCCTCTCGCTTTCAATGCCTAGACCGACCGACCGATTCAGAGGCAGGAGGTAGAGTCGATTGGGTCTCTTCTTTGAATTTGACGCCTCCTTCCGATCGTGTGCCTAATCCTGAATTATCTAGGGCTTATATATTTACTTCCCGTATTTTAGATTGGCAGTTTTTGTATGTTTTCTTTTTGGACAGTCGCCAACGTCTCAAAGTCTTCTCTTCTAGGGTTGTATCCATGGGCGAGTGGTGCTCCTACCGTATTTGGTTCTGTGGTGATGATTATTTTTGACTTTCCTTTTCACCGCATCTTTCTTTCCGCAGCCACCATCTTTCCTTCTTGTTGCGGCCACAAAACAACTGTTCTTGGCTGTCTTTCCTGCAGTCTCGCCGCCCAGTCCTCTTTTTCCCCTCATTCCTACCTACTTCCTTGCCGCAGACGCTTTTCCTTGCCGTCCACCGGAAAGCAGTTTGGCTCCTATTCTCCAATCTCTTCCAACAGCTCCTCTGTCACAACCCACTCGATTCAACCCATCATATCGAGAGAGGCGGGTCATCTTTTGTCGAGGTCATAACAAATAAATTATTATCTAAGATCTATTTGGAAGGAATCATATTTATCTGTTTTTTTTTTCAAATTTCATATACAAAACCACTAATATCATCAGTGTTGTAAAATAAATATAACCAAAATTCATTCAGATCACAATACTATAAAACAAAAGGAAACATATAAAACAATCACATTTTAATCTCTCTATCATCAAAAGAATTAAACGTCCTTATGATTGTCAAAAATAAATGTCTAAGGTATTGACATACCTAAAATCATGCTCGCACAAGTAATGCAAAAGTCTCTACTCAACCTAAGTCTTGCTCTTCCTTAAAACAACACATACATGTAAAACAGGGATGAGCAACCATAGTTCAGTACGCTACACAAAATCTACTCTAGTTTTCAATTTTTTTTAAAAAATATAAACTTGTATTCGATGTTATCATGTGTAGTATATATCTTAGTGTCAATACAAGAAATTATAATTGTAGCAGACATATGCTAAATAATCGTATAAGCAACATGATATCATAAGATCTGGAAAATAACATAAAAATTAAATTAAATTTTTTGTTTGTATTATCTTAAAATTTTTATTTCGTCTTTTTATACCTTCACTTTCACTTACACCTCCACTTGTTCATATTTTCTCTATGCCCCTTATAACTCAATTTCCACTTATACCTCCATTTGTTTATATCTGTTCAGGCGTATCAAACACACGGATGGATAATTACAAAAGTGTAAAACTCTTTATAGCTCCACTTGATTGCATATAACATATATCCATACAATCACAACCACCGGCAACTTTCCTCATTTTTATCACTTTTGGCACATATTTTGATACAAAAAACATGTAAATGCTATTAATTTTGACATATCAATATTACATGTTGTTGAAAATGGTACATATCATTATGCACAAGTAATAAAGGAATCTATGAGGAAATAAATCTACACATATTTTCAAACAAAATTTAAAAGACTTCTTTTATGGAATGTTCATAATAGTATTTAAAATATTGCTATCAGGTTTAAAGCACGTGTCAAAATATACAAAATATTGTACAATACAAAATAATCGTCGAAAAATAAATATTTTATGTCGATATGTCCAACGCAGTCTAATCTATAACATATAAAAAGTTGTGCAGTGAAACAATTTTGAATCTCTATAGATCTAAGTTTATATGAAATTTTCGCAAATAAAATATCAAAACTTCACAAGAAAAACAACAAAATTGAAATTTAAAGTAGGTTAACAATTGCATAGTGTTGGGCAATTTATCCAATTGGCCTTACAGACAAAATCGACTCTTTGGCCCCCAAATCTCCCTATCTCTCTCTAACATTATATATATATATATATATATATAAAGGTCAACAGAAGAGCTGGCGAGGGAGTAAGGAGGAGGTGAGAAGTGAAGATTCTTGGCGTAAGGAATAGTTGTTGAGCTTAGTATGGTTGTGTGTGGCACGAAAGAGAAAGCCAAGCTCTGTTTCTCTCTCTATGTCTAAGTGTTTCTCTCTCTCTCTCTAGCAGTGGTATTAGGTATATCTCTCTCTATCATAATATATATATATATATATATATATATATATATATTATTTCCTTTCTCTCTATATATGTCATGGTTTGAAAAAAGAATGAAAAAAACGCATGGAATAGCTTCTTGTAAGTGGATCTTGATATTTATGATTTTTTAAAAACTAAATAAAGGATATTACGGTAATTGGTTAAATTGTTGTATTAATTAAATATATATTTTAAAGAATCTTCTTATGTCTTGAAACATATAACTCAAAAAATTGAGGAAAAATAGTCAATAAATATAAAAATATGTTTAGAACACACTGGTGAAAATGATTTGCAAAATGAACACCATATGGTTTCAAAAAGCTCACATGTATAAGAATATATCAATTCCTTAAGGAAGACAAATCTAACAAGAAATATTTTATTTTCTTATTTATGATGCCCATAAAAATAGGTAAAAATATGCTTAATTTATAATCAAATTTGCTCTATAATCTGACAAAAATATTTAATAAATCAGACATGAAACAAAACAACTAAAAGTCGGCAACTAAATTAAACATAAAAAACTTTAAAATATAAAATAAACATACAAGACTTATCAGATCCCAAAATTAAATCTCAACAGGTACACAAAGGTATATTACAGTAGCAGTCTTTACATCCTCCCCTTCTCGCACGCTGCCACCTCCATAACTTGCGTTCTATCATATTTGCACTTGCTGCCATCATCCTAAACGATCGTGCCATGTCGATATCTATTGTGTGATTGCTATCTGGAACTCGGAAAACCGTTCTTTTATTGTTTTTTGCTTTCCGACCACTCTGTCCACCATCCCGCCACCTTCCAAACCCTCACCGACCATCTCCACCACCCTTGATCCAACCCTAGTCGCGTATCATGTGTTGTGAGTGTTGTTATTTCCTTTTTTCGTGTAGTTCGTTGTAATTTTCCATTTGGCTTCAGTTCTACTATTTGTTTGTTTTTTGTTGTTTGATTTGATTTGGGTATCAGTGAATGCTGATTAATTCAATAGAATTATATGCATTTTAAAGAGTGAATAGTAATCATATACAAGAATTTAATGTAACAACCAAAAGTTGATTTCATATACACTTTTGTACTTTGAAAAGGAAGTCCAGTGAAATTGGCATAATGGTTTTAAGAAGAAACCATAACATGCTTACATGCTAAAAGTGCTTTATGTCATTGAGCTATTTTGAAATTTGTTAGCAATTTAGAGGTGGTTTTTCTTCCCTTCTTTTAGAAGGTTGCTATTATTTAAATTTTTATTGTTGATGCGACACTTCATTTTTTGACACTTCATTTTTTATCAATCCTGTTTAATATTTGATTAAATGTGAGACTTTAAACCCTTTCGATAGAGTTTTATTTCTTATTTGTGTCTTGAGTTTAGCTTCTTTTGGTACTATTTTAATCTTTTCATCCTTTTGTTATTCTCTATTTTATTTTTTTTAGTTTTTTTCTTCAAGGTCATTCCTCATCATGTTTATTTCATTTGGAGCTAAATTATATATTTTAGCAATTTCTTGCAATTTATTGCTTCATTATTTTATTATTTTTTGCAATTCTCAGTTTGATACGACAATGCAACTCACATGATGTGTTTTATAATTTTTTTAGATTCTTTTGGTTCATATTCCAGCTCGTCATCCATCAAACTTTCCAGAGTTGGAGTTGCCAACTGTTTTACAGGTAGCTGTATTTGATTTTCAGACTAAAAAACTTCTTTCCTTGCAATAAGTTTTTGCAGGAAGTTTTTAAATTTTACATTTACTTTTGTTACAATTGCATAATGAATTTTAGCATTTCATTATATTATAAATTAGTAGTTTTGATTTTATGTCAATTTTGTTTTTGAATATTCTGTTGAGGTGGTAGTCGCTTAAATTTACTCCCATTTGCTTGAATTGATTCAAATAGCTCTTTGTACGAATTCCTTGTTACTTAACGGAATTTAGGGAAGTTTTAAGCTTAGTTGAATAATCCTTGCGTTTAAATGACAAAGTTATTATCACTCAGCATATGTGCTCCTAGATTCAATTAGGTCCTTGAACTTAAAACTGCATAATTATGGAGTTTTTAGGTTTTCTTGTTTTTTCATTGAAAGCAATGTATGACAAGGAAACTGATAATAAGAATGTGAAGCATTTGCATCTTTTATGCTTATATTTTGTTTTCCCATTCAATTATTTATTTGTAGTCAGTTTAAACTAATGACTTTTTTCTTTCTTTAAAAGATTGCCATTCTCTAGACGGTGGGATTTGGTAAGCTTGATACTTGTTTATCTCATTAAAACTGTCAAATTACATGTCTTGCTGTATTGGATTTGAAATTTAAGGGTTATTAGATTTTGAGAATACATGTTAAGATTTTGTGTGTGCTATTGAATTTATTACAAGATGCGAAGAAGAAGAGGTAATAGATAAGCGAAGTGGTACAGGAGAAAGGCAAAGAAAATAACATTTGGGAAGGTGAAAGCGCAACCTGTGAAGCAATGAATTGGTGCAATCAGGGAGCAGAAATAGGATAATTAATGAATACAGGGACAGATCGAAATTCAAACAGAAGGAGGTGTAGGAAGAATCAAACAAGTTGTATAATAGATGGGCCGGTAGAGTAAGCACGATGTGATGGGATAAAAAGCGAGACTGAGAGTGAGTCCTTTAGGAAAGATAGGAAATGGGCGAGAGAGATGTGAAAGAGAAACGAGCTAATGTGGTCGCTAATGATTATTTGGAAATCAATCAATTATTCATGATCATCTATCATTATTTTAGTGTCTTATTTATATGAGAGTCTCTTAGTATGATTACTAATAAATAAAATATCTTAAAATTTTATCTCAAAATGTATAAGTTCAAATATAAATTTAAAAGAAAATTGGAATATTTCCTAAAACTATAAATTTATTAATGAAGTAGAAATTTGCTAGTTGATCCCTTTGTAATATTGAAAGTATGCCTTGATTAATTGTTGTCTTCATTTTCTTATGGTGTGAAGAACTCTCTTTCTGAGAGATATGTTGAAGTTACTGTGAAGTAGATTGGGAGGTATTTTGTCATATCTACGATAGTCCCTCCTAGTTGAATATAAGGCTTAATAGAGATGAGCACTACTCATTTGGTTGAATCTACTATTAACATTTTTTTTAAATTATACTCATCAAAATAGAATTGAGTGATAAAATCAATCAATTGAATTATCTAATTTACCAAGAATATAATTTCTAACACGCTTTGAATTATCTAACAAGCATCAATACTCTTTTGCATAATTTCCAAATTACACATACAATGACAGAATTATATCTTACAGCATCGTAATATGGCATAGTTTCTTCAAAACCTTTTCCTCACTCAAAATTATCATTGTTTTTACTCTTGTCTGAAATAATAGTTAAAATAATAACCAATGAAACTCGAGCAAGGGAAACAATTCTGAAGTAAAATTCATGTATTCATGAAGTTTAGCCAATAGAGCTAATTATGAACTTGATATGAGAAATTAAAAGAAAACATAGATTACTGTGTTGTCTGTAATCATTATAGAGTAAACATAGATTATTGTGTTGTCTGTAATCATTATAGAGCAGCTTATCATGAATAATAATTGGCATCATAATATGTGTGATAGTCTTTTTGTGGTAAGCTTTAAAAGAGAAGTTTTATATTAAACATAATATACAGGATGCAGGTCAATTTTACAAGTGTCAATATTAGAGATTAATCTTTATAATATTCTTGTGTGTGTTCTATTTATTTCTTAGCATGTAATAGCTTATTTTAGCTTTATAATATATGGCATGTAAATTGGCCATCTTAAAGTAGTGGTTTGCATTAGATTGACACCTCATAGCATAGGTTTGAAGACCCAGCCTGAAGGATAGATATTGAGGCCCTTTTTTCCATAAGGGTTTTCCTTAATAACCCTACTTCTAGTGTCACCCCCATTTTAATCCCTCTTTGGCGCGGAAATGGTCCTCTGTGATCTCTCGTGAAATCCGACAAGTGGGATTTTTCCTGCCTATTTGCTTTGGCAGGGCCTTTTGTGCCCATAATTGCTTTATTTTTAATTAAAATTATGGTTTAGTTTATGCTTGGGTATAAATATATTTCTTAGAACCTAATTTTGTAACTTCTGTTTTGGTTTATGCATTTGGATATTATGTTCTCTGATTTTTTTATCCTATGGGCGTTGTACCTCTGATTTTTTTATCCTAGTACGCTTTATTCCCAGGAGTTTCTTCAAGGGGTTTATTTTACAAAAGTGCTACAGTCAAGGAATGATTGAGCATTTTGGCATAGATAATACCCTTTTCTTAATGGATAATACTATTCTTTTACTTACGAGAATCGCCTTGGGTTGATGTGTGCTTTCACTTCATTGTGGGCCTTCCACAAGCCCAACAGAGTAAGGATTTATTCTGCTGGTAATATAATGTTTTTTCAATATAGCATTTTTTGTAACGTAAAATAATGGACGCTTCACATATTGCATACCTATATTTCAAGAAGATGTTTCATTTTCATGGTATGCCTTGGACCATCACGTCAAATAGGAATGTAATGTTTCGGAATCAATTTTCGAGGACCTTATGGGGCAAGTTGGATATAAAGCTTCAGTTTAGTTCAACAAGACACCCTTAGACAAATTGACAATTGAGGTGATGAATTGCAATTTAGATTGCCCTATCAGGTGTTTTGTGGGCATGAATATTAGATAATGAGATATGTTCTTCCCTTAAGCTTAGTTTGCTTATAATAAGTTCACCAACAAAATCACAGGCCACAATCCCTTTAGGGTTCTATACAGGTGAAATCCTCATACTCTTTTGGAGTTTGTTTATTTACTTTCCTATATTGAGCTTAGTAGTAGTATGAAAGCTAGACTTAAAAGAGTTCAAAGTTTACATGAGTAGGTGATGAAAGGAATTGACAAGCAAAATGCTAAATATAAAAAGTAGACAAAAAAGTCAAGTAGGTCTTTAAGGAAGGTGATATGGTGTGGATCAAGTTAAAAATTGAGAGATTTCCAGCAGGTTCATTTGAGAAGCTCCTGCCTAGAGCTGACGGTCCATTTAAAATTGTCAATAGATTAATGACAAATCTTATAATATTAATTAATTGGGAGATTATAACATTTTTGTTGCCATTAATGTTGTTGTTTTATAGTCATACTACAAGGAGTTAGATGCTCCAGCTGATGATGGTGAGACTCTTTCTACGATGCCTGGCATCTTCACGTGATGCCATTCAGGTTTGCTCAAACAGGACTCAGGGATTTCCTATCCAGAACCCTCGTTATGGGAATTTTACGTGGTGCAGGTTGCTTTATTTTGATTTATAATTAAGGTTTATTGCTGTCTTAGTGTATGTATTATGTTTGGAGACCTGTAAGGACAATTTATACTTCATTTTATGCAAATTGGAATTGGTTCTTTGGATTTCTGCTTTTATGAGTGTTGTAAAATTCTTCTCCTTCAAGTGGTGAGCCTGTATCTTGATCAAGAGTAAATGATGGAACCTCGCGATGTTATTTTATTGCCGCCCAAGCCACTGGCTTTTTTTTCCTTGCGTTTTTTTTTCTTTAGGAGCAATCATCACCACCGCTCTCTTCCAAATCCTTGCACAGTTACCCTTTTCTTACCTGTCTCCCCAATCCTCGTATCGATTCTCATACATCATCTTGGTGCCCTAGACAGGTGTAATTGCACTTGATTCTCAATTTTTTTTGGGAATTCTACTTTATATTGGCTACATAGTAATTAGGCGGCATGGAACACACTTAATAGAGCTTTTCTAGACAAGTACCTTGCATACTACTTGCTGAAAGATTAATAAATTTTATCACAATTACTAGCTTAAGATTTATACCTACGATGGCGTCAATTCGAGTTCCATTGTCATAGATTCTATGAATCAATCCCTTGAAACTAAAATAGCGCGGTGGTCTAGATTTTTCAACTGGATGGATGTTGGCATTGCTATGTTTTCTGTTGAAGGGATGTAGCAGTAAGAAATGTGAGGATTACACTTTGACAATGATACAGTTTAAGAGGAAGAATTGGGGGATGAGTGAGAGGGACACTAGAGATAAAAACACTAAGGTGGTGATTATAAAGAATTGGGTTAAATTAAACAAAGCAACAAGTATTGTTCATATTATTATCTATATCATTCGGTCTTACTTAGGAAAAGAAGACCTAAGATAAATTTCGAAGAAATTATAAAAAAAAATCTAAAATTTATCTCTAACTAGGTAAGTCAAGGCCCCAAACATGAATTTAAAAAAATTCAAATATTTTCTAAAACATAAATTTACTACTAAAACATTAATCTGATGAATCTCATCATAGATAATGAAAGTACGCCTTCATCGGATGGTGCAAGTGTTCAACATCATTTAAAAAAAAAGTAAAATCACCACAAGGAAGCACAAAACTAAACAAAGAAAGAAAAACCTTTGTAAATTACAGCTAAGAGGTAAGTCGCTACTGCTCCAACCAACACTCCAAATCAATCTACATTTTTGACGTTTAGCCACCAGCTCTTGAAGTATACAAACTCCAGGATTCATTTACTCATCCACTGATCCAGCCGAGCAATGTCTTGTTAAAGAAAATCTCTTGGACAACTGAACGGTTATGATACCTAAATATTTGGAATTAACTCGGACTCTTTAAAGAGGTAGAAGTAGTTTCTTTAACAACTGGTTCTTATATCCTGCTAAAGTGTTCATTTCTGCTTGTCCACTAAACACATTAAAGCCATGAAACTCCGTCAGTTTAATTTTCAGTGCTCCTTTATATGTATAATCGTCGCTGCCACTATCAGATTTATTTTCTGCCTCCTATATCTGTTCACATATTTTTTTTTGTTGTTCCACAGTCTGCAGCTCTAATGGGTATTGGACTTTTATATGAAGGATCGGCGCATCCATTAACTACAAAAATTCTGTTGGTAATTGATTTGGTTTCTCTAATTTTCTTATGAAATTAGCTATGCTTCATTTATTGTTTTATTTTCTATTCAGTTATTCATTTTTTTTATTTATCCCAAGTTACTGAACTGTTATCTTTAGGTATTATAATTATGTTGAAAAAACCGATTCTGGATTGGTAACATTTTGCTTGAAGGTCAATCTAAACAGATGCCTAATTTAAGTTTAGAGAAAGAGTTTTTATTTTCCAGCTGTCAAAAAATTAGAAGCTTGCTGATTGCTACTTATACAAGTAAATTGTACCTTTAGGGATTTATAATTTGATTGACTTGGGGCTTGGGAGAGGACCAGCTGGTCCTCAGGGAAAGGGGGCTACCTCCCACTCCTTCCCCTTCCCTCCTTTCCTTTTTTCCTTCCTTCTTTTTTCCTTCTTTTCATTCTTTTCTTATTTTATTTCCTAACACTTTCCTACTTTAATACTTGTCCTATAACTGAAATTTGATTTTTATTCTCCTTCTCCTAATTTAAAACTTTTCCTAAAAGCTTTTCTCCTAATTTAAAACCTTTCTTAAAACCCTAAATCGTGATTTTATTCTCCTTCCCTAATTTAAAACCCTTTTCAAAATTCAAAATCTTGATTTTATTTTTATTTTTCTTATTTTAATTATTTCCTAAGATAGATCATGTTTCTTTATAAATAGGAGAGGTTGTGTTTAGAGTTAGGGGGTAGTTTTTGATGAAATCTGAATTCAATTTTGTCTGGGTGTTTTCCATCTTGAGGGTTGTATCTGATGTTGAGGTAGTGCTCTGGCTGTCCCTTGTCCAAGGTGATGATTGTCTCCACGGGTCCGAGTGGTGCTCTGGCTGTATCTCGACCCCGTCGAGATATTTATCTATACATCTGTCCTTCCTGTTACTGTCTGCCCGCTCCACAACCCTACGACAGCCCCGCTGTCCCATCCAGGCCGCCTCCCTTTTGGTTGCCACAAATCTACTACCCTTTTAGCCACCCCACAGGCGGCTGTCCTGCCTCCCTGCTGCTCTTCCAGGTTGCTGCCAGCCCTCCTACCTCAAGGTGCCTCCTCACCTGTCCCCCTCCCACCCCCCCCGCCGGCAGCTGTCCTGACTCCGTGCTACTCTTCCAGGTTGCTGCCAGCCCTCCTACAGCATCCCTTCAGTTTGCCGCTGATCTGCTACCCTTCCAGCCACCCCGCCGGCAGCTCTCTTGGCTCTTCTCTACTGCTCTTCCAGGTTGCTGCCAGCCCTCCTACAGCCTTCTTACATGTTGCCCCTGATCTGCTACCCTTCGCCGGTAGCTGTCCTGCCTCCTTGCTGCTCTTCCAGGTTGCTGCCAGCCCCCTACGGCCTCCTTGTTACCCTTCCAGGTTGCCGACAGTTCCCTGCAGCCTCCCTTCAGGGTACCGCAGCCCCCTGCTGCCCTTCCAGATCGCTGCTCCAGCACTACCTCTCCAGACTCTCCTCATCGAGCTTGTTGTTACTTTATTTGTTGAGTTTTTATTGTAATGTACGTTCTGTGTTTTGGTTTATGTTGTATCTTTTCCTTTTCTTTTGAGTCATCGTTGTAACTGTCCTTTTTAGTTATTAATACATTCGTGTCTTGCGTTGTGGTTTGGGTTAACTCCTGTATTATTGATAGATCAAGCTCTCAAGCCTAATCACTTCCTTCAAAATGTTTGAATTATTTATGTCCAAAAAGTTTTTATGAATGTTTTTAGTGAAATAGATATTAAAATGTTAGCGCTTTCAAAATTGAAGGATGCTTGAAACTGGAGCCTACAGACTTTGACTAGTTACATTTTCGGCCTAATGTGGTTTTGAAATCGCCTTTTGCAGCTTGTACTGAAAGAATTGGTCAGCAGTTGTAATCAATGATTTAAAACCTTAATGATTTCTCTGAAATTACTGAATTTGTTACCGCAGATTAACATTTGTCTTTCCCTTATAACATAAATTATTGTCTACAAGTTTTCAATAACAGTTGGCAAATTTTCTTTTTAAGGGCAGTTATATACATAGCACGCAATTCATATCTCACACCTAAACTGTCATATTTACATAAGGAAATATGTAAATACATAAGAATTGTGTGCTAGGTATGTAAATTTCCTTTTTTTTGTTGGTGTCAAAGCATCAGGGGTAAGCACTTTTTGAAGAGTCGGTAACTATAATTAGTCGACGTGGACATCTATGGTTTCATTTTTTCTCGGTGCAAAAGAGTTATAAATTGGATGGAAAAGACGGATGGAAAAGACCATAAACATCTTTTTTTTTTTTCACCTTCAAAACTTTGACAAACATTTGAACTTGCTTGTAGTATTGGCCAATCTTGGTTCTTTTTTCATTCTTAATCAAGCAATGGATTACTTTTATTGTCTTCATATTCTAGGTCTATAGAGTCTCTAATCTCTATTTCATGATATTCTTAAGGTAAAAGTTGATCTCATAGTGATACCTGCCAACTATTAGTTGTATTGTTTATTACATTTTATTTGAGTAAAGTGCCAAAATAGTCTCTTGACCATTTAGATAGGCCATTTTGGTCTCCGAGTTTATAAAAGTGTTAATTTAGTTCCCAAACTATTTTAAGAGAGTTAGAATAATCCTCGTTGGAGGACTATTTTAACCCATATTAAAGAGTGAGGGGACTAAAGTGACATTTTTATAAACTCTGAGATAAAATGGCTCTCTGTAAAGAGTCAAATGACCATTTTGATACTTCTCTCTTTTCTTTTTATTTGAATTTTTCCTGACGATGTATTACTAGGTCAACTTCATGTTTGTTTGATTTCCTTCCAGGGTGAAATAGGTCGCAGAAGTGGTGGTGATAATGTGCTCGAAAGAGAAGGTTATGCTGTTGCTGCAGGATGTGCTTTGGGGCTTGTTGCTTTAGGTTTATGATGTCCAAAACTTGAGAAACTCAAGTATTTTTTACTTTAGAGCAGGCTTTATGTTTTTTTTATAATTTTTTTAAAAATATTTTTTTCTAAATTGAAGGCCGAGGCAGTGATGCATTCAGTTTCATGGATGCTTCTATCGATCAGCTTTTCCAGTATATTGGTAGCAAAGGAGTTAACAGTGTATTCACTTGAAGCAACTCCATTCATGGCCTCTGATTTTCACATTATCATATCATAAATATATTAGTCAAATTATGCTTACTCTTTAAAGTTCAATGTATTTTCAGCTTTGCGTTGTCATTTTGCAGGAGAAATCATTTCACATAGGACCATCATCAGATGATCAGAGTCGAAGCATTGGGCAGGTTATTTGCACTATTAACCTTCTCTGCATTTCTTTCCTACTTTGCAATTTCCCTTATTTTCTTCTATATTTTTTTGGGCATTTACATACATAACACAAAACTCTAATGTATCTACATATCTCACACCTAAACTTATATATTACGCACTTTGTACTCAAATCTTTAATATCACATCAAAAATAGCACGACTATCACATTTTCATGCATAAGTTTAAATCACTAAGGTGATATGTATGTAAATATGGAAGGAGTAAAAGCCTAAAATAGTCCCCCAAATATTAACAAGCATCCAATTTAGTCCAGAATCTTAGGATGCTCCAATTTAGTCCCAAACTATTAAAAGTTACTTCAAATTGGACTTCAATTATATTTTCCATTAAATTTAATGGTGACCTACATGAATTGAAGGGTATTTTTGTCTTTTATGTGATTATTTATAAATATATCCAACATAAAAATTATTGTTTATGTCGTTTGATTGGATTTAGGCTAAATCTTGCTTAAAACCTAATTAAATGTTGCTCAAATACGATTAAAATAAGCATCACAAAATCTGAAATCCTATTTCTGCTAGAGGAGGGAGAGGGGTAGCAGGCAGGATGGCGAGAGGTGGTTAGTAAGGCTGAGAAGGGGCAGCAAGGGTTGCGGCTTGTAGGGGAGTTGCAGGGAGGTGGCTGTGAGGTGCAGTAAAGCTGCGGCCTGTTAGGGGGAGCTGTAGGGAGGCAGCTGGAAGGTGCAACTGGGGGCTGCGGTGGCTGCCGCCTGCAAGGAAGTTGCAGGGAGGTGGTCTGGATGGAGCAGCGGGGGTTGCCATAGGGTTGTGGAGCGGGTAGAAAGCAATGGGAAAGTTGGATGGATAGATAAATATCTCGGCAGGGTCGAGCTACGACCATAGCATTACCTGGACCCATAGAGACGATCACCACCTCGGACGAGGGACAGCCAGAGCACTTCCTCGACTTCAGATACAACCCTCAAAGAGAAAAAACTCTTGGATAAAACCTGAATTTAGATATCAAAAATAATATCCAGTCACTCCAAACCATCATCTCCTATTTATAAAGAGGCTTGACCTATTTTCGTAAAATACTTAAAATAAGAAGGAAAATAAAATCACATTTCAGATTTTAGGAAAGACTTTTTAAAATAAGAAAGGAGAATAAAATCAGATTTTAAATTTTAGTAAAGACTTTTAAAATAAGAAGGGAGAATAAAATAAAATCAGAACTCAGAATTTAGGAAAATATTTAAATTAGAAATGACCTAGGAAGGAAAGTAAGAAAAAATGGAAAGGAAAGAAAAAAGAAGGGAAAAAGGAAGTGAGGGAAGAGGAAGGAGGGGGAGCCAGACCCCTACCTTGAGGAACAGCCCGTCCTCCCTCGATCCCCGCGTCAAATTTGAAACAATTTAATAGACGGGGGCTAAATTGGAGCGTTTTATAACTTGGGGACTAAATTGAGTACTTATTAATTGTCAGGGGACTATTTTGGACTTTTTCTCAATATGGAAGTTTGAGTGTGAGATATGTAAATACATAAGAGTTGTGTGCTAGGTATGTAAATTTCCCTTTTTTTCCCTGCAGAGAAGTGGACGGTGGCTTCATTTGAACTGTTAAAATTTGCGCATCCAATTATTTTTTTTATTCTTGATTTAGATGTTAGAAGGGACACACATCAATGTTGATGTAACAGCACCAGGAGCAACAATAGCACTAGCTCTTATATTTTTGAAGGTTATTTCTCACTCAAGTGATTCTTTTGACAGTTAAAAATGGAATTGGAATGGGTTTGAGTTCTAATTATTGTGATGAATAATATTTCTGAGTTCAGACAGAATCTGAAGTTGTTGCATCTAGACTTCATATCCCTACCAGTCACTTTGAGTTACAGTATTTGAGGCCCGACTTCATTATGCTCCGTATCATTGCTCGCAGCTTAATTATGTGGAGTAGGTGGGGTATTTTACTCTTTTCATCTTAGATAATTTAATTTTATTTGTAGAAACATGCTGCCATATTTTTTTTATTTTTTGGTGCAGAATTTGCCCATCAAAAGGTTGGGTTGATTCTCTTGTTCCCGCTGTTGTTAATGTTGGGATTGTGAGGTTAACAAATGAGACAAATGATAACGATGAATTTGATAGACAGGCGCTTGTACAAGCATATGTTAATATTGTCACCGGAGCCTGCATTTCCATTGGTAATAATTTGTTCATTTCTTTCTAAACTACATCCTAGATCAGTATTCAGTATAGTTTTGACAATTTTGTGTTATAGTACCGGAAGCAGATGTCGTAACGCAAAGTTGCTCCATTTTCTATCGGGGTTCACTTTTAGTGGAGGTTGATTAATAAAACTAACCCTTAATGGTTAGGATAAGGGTAATGAAAATAAGTGCCAAAATATTACCCTATCTATTTACATGGGACTATTTTAATCCTAGAGTCTATAAAAGTGTCAAGTCAGACTTTAGACTCTTTTTGTTGGGGTTAAAGTAGTCCTCCTTTGAGATTATTCTAGCTTATATTAAAAGATTTTGTGGAGTAAATTGGCACGTTTATAAACTCTGAGACTAAAATGCCCCCTTATAAAGAGTCAGGGACCATTTTGACACTTTTCTCAATAATGATAATTGAATTTGAATGTCTGAATTTCACTTATTGTTGGCTACCATAACCAAAGATACATTTTCTTTCAAACGTGTAATGCTGCCTATATTTTTATGCTCGTTCTAAGATTCTGCCAGGTAATGATTTTAGGGTTAAAGTATGCTGGTACTAGAAATGGCGATGCGCAGGAGTTGCTCTACAACTATGCCATTTACTTTCTTAGCGAGGTAAAATCTCTTATGGAAATTTACATGCATACCACCCAATTCCTATGTATTTACGTATCTAACACCTAAATTTTGCTTTTTTACATTTATACAGGCCAAGTCTTTCATGTCACCTAAAAAAAGAAATACTTTAACTTTTTAAAACTGAAATGCACCTTCCCATGCATATGTAATGTGGCGGCTGTGTAAAAAATAAAGTTTGGGTGTTAGATATGTAAATACATAGAAATGAGTAGTATGTATGTAAGTCTTTCAATCTATTATTGTATAATCTTACATTTTTTCCAAATATTATTTTGATAAATTGTATGTTCAAATTTTGCAGATAAAATATGTTTCACACTCAAGTAAAACCGATTTGCCTAAGGGACTCCTGCATCATGTTGATCGAGGGACTTTGGAGATATCATTGCATCTAGTTATCCTTTCTTTATGTGTGGTTAGAACAAATGTCTCCTGTTCTGTTATTTATTGTGCCATTATTTTACTTGCTGTTTCATTTATGTTAACTAGAAAATTTTGGACCTCACTTCTGTTTTTTTTGTTTTTATTTTTATATTTTTATTTGTGAAAACATATTCTGTCAATATATTTTTTACTTGTTTTTATTTTTGTTTCTAACACTAAATCACCTTGTTTTTGAAAGCATTCAAAATATCATGTTAGCCAAACATGTTTCACTTCAAATCTGAACATAAAAAAATAAAAAATAAAAATAATAATTTAAAAACAAAAACACAAAAGTAATCCCAAACAAACCCCTAGTTTATTAATTTTTGTTTTAGTTTTAAGCTATAGATTCAAATTAGATCATCATGCATTCTTTTTTCATAGTAGGTTTTTCTGGATTGACTACTTTTTGACATGTTGATATATATAATTCTTGTAGCTTTTGGGAGGAGAAAAAGTAGTATTCCTTTTCATTTCATAGAAAAACAATTACAAGTTAAATAGATGATGATGGCTCCCTTAATGGGAAAACAATAATATCCGCCATAACTCTCTAAGGGAAGCAAGAATTATGACATGCCAATAATAAATGAAAATAAAAATGGAAAGTACTAATAATAGGAGATACTAAATATCTAACCCTCTCCCCTCCTAGAATGGAGCATAAATATGTGTCATGCCCAGCTTGCTATCAAGGTCCTCAAAAATTGGTCTAAACAGTTATTTGGTGAAGATATCCTCTATTTGTTGAATAGTAGGGATAAATGACATGCAAATAGCTCCACAATCACTATTCTCTTTAATGAATTGTCTGTCAATATCCACATGTTTTGTGCAATCATGCTGCAAGGGATTTTCTGCAATGCTTATGGTTTCTTTATTGTCACCGTATAACCTCATTGGCATATTTATTGGCATTTGCAGCTATTCATGGATCTCTTTAACCATAACATCTCACATACTCTATTATCCATAGCCATAGATTGTCTCAACACTACTCTATTCAGCCACATTTTATTTTCTTACTTCGCCATGTAACTAAGTTTCCTCACACATAGGTGCAATATTCAGAAGTTAATCTCATGTCAATAATTGAGCCTGCCCAATCTACATCAGTGCATGTCTCTATGTTCTTTATGTGGTCTTTTGAGAGTAAGTTTTTACCTGGTGTACTTTTTAGATATGTGAGAATTTCGTTGATTGCTTGAAGGTGTTTCTTATAGGGAAAATGCATAGATTGACTTACCAAACTCACAACAAAGACAATATTTGATCGTGTATGTGATAAGTATTTCAATTTCTGCACCAATTTTTCATACCTATTTGTATTCATTGGATCACCTTCCTTCCCATCTTCTGATTTTTTATTTAGATCAATAGCAGTGTTTGTAGGTCTACACTCACTCATTTCAGTTGCCTTAAGAAGATCAAGAACATACTTTCATTGGGAGACAACGATTTCTTTCTTCGATTGAGCAATCTCCATGCCAAGTAATTACCCTGTGAAGATCCTAAGTATTTTGTTTCAAAAGCAGATGATAGGGAATTCTTCAAATGATTCATCTCATATACATTATTTCATGTGATAATATTATGATTCACATGCATAATCAGTATTATTATTTTCTCATTATTTGAATGTCTGAAAAACATTTTATGATCTTCTTGTCCTTGAGTCTAACCATCACCTCTAACAAATGATGTAAATTTCTCAAACAACTCACTCGGTAGCTATTTCAACTCGTATAAGGATTTTTCAGGTTACTCACTTCTGTGTCAAACTTATAATAAATCTTGAAGGTGCATCCATATACACTTCTTCCTTCAAGTCTTCATGAGGTAACACATTTTTTATATCCAATCATTGTGGGGGCCAGTCAAAGTTAGTTGCAAGTGACGGAAGAACCCTTACAGATTTGAGTTTTTCAACTGTAGCAAATGTCTCTAAATAATCAATGTCATAGATTTTAAACCGTTCATCAGAATTATACTTGATTGTAAAGACTCATTGGCAATTGACAGTTATCTTTCCTCTTGGTAGATCAATCAATTTCCACATGCCATTTTTTTCAAAGGCTTTTCTCTTTTCGAAAATAAACTCCCTTCACCTAAGAATTTTTTGAGCATTCTACATAGTTTTCTCTATATGTGACAATTGTGAGGTAATAGTATATAAAGTGGTTGAGGGTTTTTTGTATTACTCATAGAATAATGGATGTTGAGTGAAAAACTTTTCCCGAATGGAAAAACTAAACTCATTAGACCCTTGATTTGAACTGGACTCAGATTCAAGATTGGAAGACTCAAAACTCAAAGATGTGGTGGCCTGGGCATGGGGTAAATGATTAATGAGATTAATATTTGCAGATTCTTGGTAGTGCAAAGAATTCATAGACTCTTTTTTTAAATGTCCTCTGCCTTGAATAGACAAAATCAAACGGTGTTACTGTCCTAGTTCTTTTTCATGTTTTTTCTTTGTTATGAACATCATCAGTTTCACTAAAATTTTCAGGTTGAGCACTCAATGTCTGGGATATACTATTTTGAGTCTTCAGTTTGAATAAAATCTTGAAGTTTAGTGGATCAAACATTGTTTTGTTCTTTCCCTTGAAAATGAGGTGAAAAAAATGATTGAAATTAAAAAAAGGTGACATTCATGGTAGCAAGTATTTTTTTAGTAGTGGGATCAAAATATTTATACATTTTTGGCTAGGAGCATAACCAACAAATACACATTTTTTTGTCCATGGTTTAAGTTTTTCTTGATGATGAATGTGAAAAAAAAATAGTTCACCCAAATATCTTTAAAGAAAGAGAAGATGAGAACCTATTCTTTGGAAAAATATTTGGGAAAACATTAAAAGGTGTTTCAAACTTTAAGACTTTATTGGGTGTTTTATTTATGAGAATTGTAGTAGTAAAAATGACTTCACCCTAAAGATATTTAGACACCTAATTGGTAAATAGCAAAGCTCGAGCTACATAAATTAAGTGTTCTTTTTTCTTTGTGCTAACCCATTTTGTTGTAGTGTCGACGACAATAACAAACATTTATCTTGCTAAGTAGGATCAGTTGCATGAATCCTTTTTCTCCATTGCGTCCTATTGAGTGTCATATTTTCGTTTAATTCTAATAGATTAAAATCTTTTTTTGCACAAAATGCCCAATTCTTTTTTAGTCATGCTCTGCCTTTATTAACATATGTTGAATCTAAAACATCTACTCTCCTAATTGGATCATCAATGGTCAACGTTTAATGTGGCCAAATCATCTATAAAGACTCTCTTTACCATTGGAGCTACACCAACCCTATCACGAATATATTCATTTCGCATTTGGTCTCTAGGTATCAAGCCACTTATCCACTTAAGCATCTCAGCAACACTTACCTTTGTTTTATGCTTCTCTTTTAAAGACCAACATTCTGCGCCATAGAGCTTTGTAGGTCTCACCACCATCTTTTAATTTTTTTCTTTCTGTCTAAGAGATACTTTTCTATCACACAATAAGCCCGAAATAGTCCTCCACTTCAACCAACCAACTTGAATTTTGCTAATAACATTCCCATCTATATCACCACAATATACTTGAGATACCTAAAATGTTCACACCTTTTAATAATTTTATCACCCATAAATACAATTCTGCCACTAGAGCTACTACTACTAAAATTACATTCCATCCATTTAGTTTTTGATCTTCTCAAGCGAAGGTTTTTAGACTCCAATGTAGACCTCCATAATTCAAGTTTTCCCGAACTCTTTCTCTAGTCTTATCTATAAGAAAGATATCATCAGCTAAAAGCACACACCAAGGTACATTATCTTGTAAATGTCCATTAAAAGCTTCTATAACTAAAGCAAAAAGATATGGGATTAAAGCTGATCTCTGATGTAATCCAATTGAAAAAGGAATACTTGGTCAGTCCTCCTGCTCAAACACAAGTAACAACTCTAGTACACATTATCTTTGATGACTTGAATACATGTTATATCAACACATTTCTTCTCTAGAAATCTCCAAATGACTTCTATTGGAACCTTATCGTAAGCTTTTTCTAGAACCAAAATCATATGTCAATCCTCCTTATTCTCTTTGTACTTCTCCATAAAACCTCTTAATAAATGTGTAGCTTCCATAGTAGACCTGCCCAAAATAAATCCAAACTGGTTGTGAGAAATCCTTGTATCACGTCTTAACCTATGTTTAATCACCCTCTTCTATAATTTTAAAGTATGACACATCAACTTAATTCCTTTATTGTACATTCTTATATGTCCCCTGTAATCTTAAATATGGGGACCTAAATACTCTTCCTCCACTAATGCATCTTTTTAGTTTTAAAATATTATTAAAGAGTTTAATAAGCCGAGAAACTCTAAAATCTCCTGAATTTACACACTCTAATTGGATAGCATCGGGTCTTATTGATTTTCCACCTTTGATTTTCTTTAAAGTCTCCCAAATTTCTTTTTTACTAATATGATAGTAAAAGTAAAATATTTTATTATCATTAACTATATTAAGATCACTAAGGTCTATCATGTTTTCAAAAATTTTATAGAAAGTTTATCAAAATAGCTCACCCATCTATGCTGAATTTCTTCCTCAAAGAAAATTACTTTTTAATTTTCATCTTTAATACACTTGAATCTTTTGTTTTATGTTTGTTTGGTTAGTTTATACACATATTTTTCACTCTTTTTTGTATCAAGTGTTTTATAAAGTTGACTGAAAGTGAAATTTTTAGTAACAAATTGCTCTCTTAGACTCCCTACGGGTCTCCTTATAGTTTTCCAACTATGTTAAACCAATTTTTATAGAACTTCTTATATTTTATTTTTTCTTTCACATTATTATTCCACTACTAACTATTTTTATTTTTTAAAAATTTTCCTTTTGATTTTCTAAGTACATCTTTTGTCAATTGTTTAATAGTACTTGTAACTTTATCTCACATATAATTCTTTTCTTCATGAATATCCTTTGTCTTGAAATTTTAAAGTTTACTCATAAAAATAATTTTATTTGTCTTTTAGGTACCGTCATCTAATTCTATGACCATGTTTCCTTGTATTATTTATCTCACAACTCTTCATCTTAAAATTCAAAACTAATAGTTAATGTTGAGTTCTTAAATTCGCTTGGATTATCCTTACAACCTTTATGTTTTTGACGATCTCTTTTTCTCGTAAGAAAATAATCATTTTATTTTATTAGATCCATTCTCATAAGTAATAATATGTTTATCTCCTGCCTTAAATAAAATATTAGCAATAACAAAGTCATATGTTAAAGCAAAATCTAATATGATTTTATATTGTTCATTAATCACTCAAAAATCATAGTCACCATTACTAGCATACCCATTTAAATCTCTAATAATTTTTTTTTCTTCAAGAGGTATCATTTGTATTAATTTTCTTAGGTCATTCCAAATTTTTTTCTTTTGAATCTATATTTAAGGAACATCAACACTTATAATGTTAAAAATTTTAATATCAAGAGCAATATTTAGAACTATAATTTTATTTCCAATTCTAATAATTTTTATCAACATCATAGTCATTTTGTTTGGATTTCCAAAATTGGGGTTTTCCACTTAGAAGTTTGCGAAGAATTCTCCAAGTTTAAATAAAGATCTCAAACAGCCTCCTCGATATCTTAAGAAGTGGGAAGAAATAGATGAGGTTTTCTTATGGAAGGTTTCATGGAATTGATAAGCCATGTCCTTACCAAAGAATTTTTAGTGTCATTTTCTCAAATTCTGATCATTAGCATTAGGTTTTGGGATTTCTCAGGTTAAATATCTAATTTTTCCTTCCCCGTCAATCGCCGATGTTATAGATTGTGCCAGCTTGAGATAATTCTCCAAGTTTTATAACTGTGAGGTAAGGAGGTAAATTTTGAGGAAAATATTCAGCCAAAATACCTGTTAGAGGAGCTGTCGGGTAAGGTATGGTGATTTCGGAATTACTAAAACCGGTCGTTGTGGTAGAATTTTTTCAAACTCCTGTCATCATTGTTAATTTGTACATCCTTAGAATCTCGTGAAAAAAATCAATCCAAAGCTACCCGAAACTCTTTTACGCTGCGATTAAGAACGACACAAAACTCCTATACACTGTGATCAGTTCACATTTTTACGCGAGAGGTGTGAAACTCCTTGACGATGCGATCTTGGTCATTTTTTTATGAAGAACAACGCGGAATTCCTGTACTTGGTGATCCATTTACTTGCCTGCACACGCTTGTCCCCTGCGATCTTGTTGGCTTGCCTACGCGACCTGATTCTTCGCCGCTAGGTCTAGTCATGATTGGATCGCTTTGTTGCAAGTCCTGATCACGACTGGATCGCGATGGTTGTGCAGGAAGAGGAGAATATACGATGGTCATTGATCTATACTTTCCTCTGAGTGTCGCAATCATTCCTTTGAGTGTCGCAATGGGGTCGTTGCCTTTCGAGCAAACTTTAATCGAATCCCTCGTGGTTTTCGAATGCCATGATCCCATTCCTTTGAGTGTCGCGATGTCTTTGCCTTCCTGGCGAGCTTTAATCAAGGTTCTATGGCGAGGGGTGTTGAGACAGAACCCATAGCATAAGATGATGATGTGATTAGGGCCTTGTACCATGTAACTTTTGGGAGGAGAAAAATTATTATTCCTCTTCAATTTCGTAGAAAAATAATTACAAGACTCATATTTGCAAAATAATAATATATTTGATAACTCCCCATAATAAAAGAAGGAAACAAGAATTATTACTAAAGATAATAGATAAAACTAAAAAAACCTAATAATAGGAGATACTAAATATCCAACATTTCTTTTTGAATTATATTTGCTGTAGAACATAATGTCTGTTAATAATATCTATCCTATTTAGGGGCTCAATTTCGTGGCCATATTTTCTCCATCGATATTATGCGTTTTAATATCATCCTAAACGATAATATGCGTACTAAGCATCTTCAGCATTCGAACAAACAAAATTAGCACTTGTTTATTAATTATAACGATCACGGTAATTTCTTTTAAATATGAATATGCTTCTTATATTGTGTAAGTTCTTTCTGGTTCAATAGCAACATGCTGGAATACAGCTAACTAGTGCAAGCTACTTTATTTCGTGGTGCATTCTTCTGTTATTATACTTGCCTAGTTTTTAACAAATCTCCTCTCTCTCTCTCTCTCTCTATATATATATATATGTAAATCTTTTTTGCACTAGGTTATGGCTGGATCTGGTCATCTACAGACATTTAGATTACTCAGGTACCTTCGAAGCAGAAGTTCTGTGGATGGTCACATGAGTTATGGAATTCAGATGGGTGTAAGTTTGTGATGAATCTAACTCTTACGTGCAATTTAGGAATCCATATTGCATCGTCTGATATTGCTTGGGTCCTTCCAGCAATCACAAATTTTTAATATTTTTGTTGGCTTTTGACATATGATTAGTTAGTTTGAAATCAAGCAACTTTTTCCAAAAGTGTTGCTGTTTTTATCATTGTTTTGAGATTATTTTTTGAAGTTTATGTTGCATATTATTTTATTGTCATGCTTACCTTTATGGTTGAAACCTTTAAGTAGAGGTTTTTCCTTAATTTTATTAAATTTTAGAAAGGCTTGCTTAAATTACACGATTCTTAGATTTTTACATATCTAACGCTACAGTTTGATATTTACATTTACAACAATTTGGTGTTAAAAACTTTTGTATAAAAAGGGGCATTTCACCTTTAAAATGGTGTTAATAATGGTATTTTCTATGTGACGTTAATAATTTGAGCGGTGTGCATGTAAAATATCAAACTTTGGGTGCTAGATATGTAGATATATAAGAATTGTGTGCTAATGCACCTAAATTTAACATGATGCTTAGCCGTATTATTTACTTTGACCCATAAATATCGAGCATAATTGGCACTCAAGCTTCGTCTTTGTTGTGTTTTACTGATGTAATCTAGCACACAATTGTTGGAGTTGATGAATACAATTTTCTAATGCTGAATTTGAAAGTTATTAGAAAAAGGATAAAAAAACAATTCCCAAGTTGACGTCGTAGCGTCCCACACTCCTACAGAGTTCGCTACCCGTGATCCTACACCGTCTTATGTGGGATAGAGCGGGAGGGATTTTATGTCCCGCCTTCTACTATTGCAGCCGTCCAACCCCTATATTTAATATTTCTTTAATTAGAATTAGGGTGTTTTAGAGGGAACTATTTATAATTTTCTATTTTCTTGTTTTGAGAAGACTTTTGTTTTGTTTGTGAGTTTTGGAGATTTGTATATTTGATTTCTACCCTAATTAATTGATGTATCATTTTCTTTTTGCAAGTAGTATATGTAGCTTTTGCGAGTATAGGTTGTTTTCAGTCGAGACAACTGTCGAATGATATCCACTTCCAAACATCATCAAATTGGCCTATTAGCTTTCTCTTGACATTCCACAACCACCTCTCCACAAATCTGCCTCCTACATACCTTCTAAGAGCCCTAGAACGATATCTTCTGGTATCAGTCTGACAAAGCAGAGATTATTAGGGACTTGTCTTTCTTGGTACAATCCAAAATTCAAAAAAATAAAAATCCAAATTCTTAATCCCAAATCATTCATGCCTCAATTCTTAATCCCAACCCTTAATTTTCAAAATTTAATTTTTTTTTATCTTCACAAAAAATCCACTTCGACACCTACCACCAAAACTTTAAATTTCAACCAACATTTTATTTACAACCCTTCACCTGTCAAAACCTTGATCGAGAGCAAAGAACACAATGTCGCCTAGGAGAAATCCACAAAGAGTGGTCCAGAAGCTAATGAATCCTCCAAATGCAATAGAAACTTGCCACTTTTGAGAGGAGATAATTCTGTGTGATCAACCATAGTTACAACGGTGACTTATTAGATCAAGAGGAGAATGTGAATCTCTCCCACGAGATAGTTTCTAGTGGCGAAAAACCATTACTTCAACAATTCGGCATGAAATAACAGAGAAGTTATGATCTTGGAATAACGGTAAATTACCAGATTTCGATAGTTACATGAATTTAGATGAGTTTATTAAGTGGCTTGAAACTGTTGAGTGAACTTTTGAGTATAAGACTATTCCTCGGGTTATTGAGTTAAATTGTTTTATCGTGGTGGGAGAACTTAAAGTATATTGGACACCAAGAAGAGAATAATAAGATCATTATGCGATTTAAGATGAAAAGGGAGATGAACCACAAATATCTTAAACCTCTTTACCGACAAGATATGTTCATCAACCTCCGCCACTGGCACCCAAGAGAATTTTCTGTGGTGTACACAATTGAATTTGATCAACTCATGTTGAAATGTGACCTGATGGAACCAAGGAGCACACAATAGCGAGGTACCTTAGAGGATTGAGGTCGTCTATTAGAAATGTCGTGCAACTGTAACAATATTAGTCCCTACTCGATGTAGAGACCCTAGCTTTGGAGGTAGAGAAACAACGTCATAAGGTGACAATCACACCTTACAGGTAGAGTTCAACCCTAGGATCAGACATCAAGTGCATTTAGTGGAGCATCCCAACCGACCCTGCCTGAGGAAAGATTTATTCAAAGGAGAAAAAGTGGAGACCTCCAACACTCCTAAATCCATCCCAACAAAGAATTGCCTCAAATGCCACGGCTTTGGGCATCTTGCATCTAATTGTCCAAATAGGAGGATGATCTCCTTCACTGAGCATAGGGCAGTTAAAGAAATGGACAAGTGACATAGGAGACACTCAAGAAAATGAGGACACAAAGGAGGAGCAGCAAATCCCAGTTGATGAGTGATGTTAATGTTTCTAGTTGAGCCCAAGAAAGAGATCACATTAGATTTACATTAATTGCCCTAAAAGATAGTGAGTCCAAGTAATCGATACAAGAAAAGGGACGGCTCTTTTTGTAAGTGTTGTCGGATAACTTGATTGACAGTTTGCCTCCTGGGTGACTACCATTGAAAGAAATTCCATAGGCCATGAATCTCACTTCAGGAACTTTATGTCAAACCAACTTGTCTATGGGATGAGATCAGTCAAATATGAGAAAATGCATAAACATATTACATATTTGATTGCTAAAGGCTTGGTCCGTGAGATTAATAGCCCAAATGTAGGTTCAGCTTTGATTGTGTCAAATAAGAATTGTTATTTATTCTATCAAGACAAACTTTGAAAAGATGTATATGTTTTAGAGTTGTCTTGAATGGGCGTAAACATAGATTTTGTAGTGGGGTTGCCTTAGGCATAGCAAGATAATGACTTTGACATGATTGTGGTAGATCATTACCAAAATGGTTCATTTTGTTCCTTGCCACAAGGCAATTGGACGCCTCACATATTTCTAGCTTATATTTCATGGAGGAAGTTCATCTTCATGGTATATCAGAAGCATTGCTTCAAACGAAGATGCGATTTTTTTAAGTAAGTTGGGTACTACGTTCTAGTTTAGTTCAACAGTTTCGTCCCAGATAGATGGCAAGATAAACTGTTGAACTGCTACTTTGGAAATCTCAACAAGTGTTTTGTGAGAATGAATATCAGGCAATGGGTTCAGCGGTTTCTAGAGAAGAAAGCGAAATCTCTCCCACTCGAGGAGAATGATGTAGAAACATCTCGCGGTAATGCTGGATTTCGAGACCCGTGATCTCATGCATGCGTGATTGAGCTGGACACGGGATTTCCCATCCCGCCTTCTACTGCTACAATCACCCAGCCTTTTGTGGGCCTATATTTAATTTTCTTTTAATTAGAATTAGGTTTTTTAAGTTGGAACTATGTATATTTTGCTATTTCTTGATTTGGGGAGATTAGTTTCTCTGATTTCTACCTTAATGAAGTGTTGTATCATTTTTCTTTTTTGCAAGTGGTGTTTGTAGCTTGTGCAGTAATAGGTGGTGAACGTCAACATTCGTACCTCATCTTTTCTATGCTATCTTTGTTGTTGTCAGCCGGAACAGCCGTCGAACGGCGTTTATCCCATTCCAAATGTCGTTGAATTCGCCTATTATCTTCCCCTTGTAATTCCACAACCACCTCTTCGCACATCTGCCTCCCAAATACCTTCTAGGAGCCCTAGAACGGTATAAGTTCTTCTTGCTTTCTTTTTAGTTCATCATCTTCACGTTCATTGCCTGCTATTACTGCCTGTAATATGTTGAATTCTGCTTTTTCTCCTTTTTTCTTAGGTCTTCTTTGTACTTCTTAATTTGTGTTATAATTTTATATAGTTATTTTCCGCTGGTTTACTTAGTTCAGCGTGTTATATTTGTGTGTTGTATAGTTATTTTCCCTTACAAGATCAATTATTATATGGTTGTATATAGCAAACCCAATTATGTTTTTATTAAATAGGTTATTTACGTACATACCACAAATTCATTAAAAGATCAATTCTTCTTGCTTTCTTCTATATTTTTTACATTTCTACCAACTAAATTTGGCATATCATATCAAAGTTACCACTATTTTAACTTTAGAAAGTGAATATAGCTTTTCATTCATTTATAAGGCGGCATTTATGTAAAAATTGAAGAATGGGTGTTATACCGGAATTTTTCCAATAAGCAACATAATGCGAATATTATTGTTGAAAGTTGAAAGGAATCAAAATAGATGTCATTGAAACAGGAACAAAACAACACTAAACACACAAACGACCTCTAGGTTTAGAGCGACAGGTGGACACCAGTTGGACGGCAGGTGGGATGATCAGTTAGGGGATGCGACAGCAATGGAGGGAGTTAGAGGGGTTTCAACAACAACTGGGTATGGTGGAGGGCCTGCGGCTGCCTCTTTGAGGGGTTGGGATCGGTGGTTGTAGCAATTGGAAGGTGTGGAAGGTTCAGGAGGTATTACGGCAAGGTCGAAGGGATTTGCGGCAAGGGTGGAAGGTCTTAAAGGGTTTAGAGTGGTTTGTGGCAAGGTCTGAGTGGCTAAAATGATGCTTGATGGTTGTCGGTTGAAGGTCAGTGAGCCAGGTAGAAGGAATATGTTGAGGAATCCTAGGGATAATTGCCATCTCGGAGCAGGATACAGCCGAAACATCACCTGTCCTCAAATACAACCCTAGCAAGGGAGGCTTGGAGGCAGAAATCAGAAATTAGCAAAAGTTGAACTCTAAAGCACACAAGCAGTGTATATATAATGCTAAATAGAGTAGGAGAGGGGGGTGGGAAAGGAGCGGTAGCTCCCGCCCATTAAACCAATTGGTTGGACCGACACCCTTATTGAACTGGTTAAGTCGATTCAACCAAGCCCCTAAGTCTGTCTCCTTAGATTTGGGGAGCTTTGATTTCATTCGACGAAGCTTA